TTGTTTTTGAAAAATGACCCCCCCTGTAAAATGTAGCTCGCACATTACTGACTGATTGTGTTCTTACCAAAAATCCAATAAAGTTGTGTCATTACGTGTCTTTTTTTCTCTATATACAGGTGTGTCAAAAATTTTCGGGCCTGACATAATGAAGGTAATAATTACAAATTGTTCTTGTGCTGTAATTGAAGTACGAACTGTCACTAGTATTGCAGAAAAAAATTGAGTTGATATATGTCATAGTATATTTTCTACAGCATTGCATACCAAGTAACCTTGATATTTTTAGAAAAATGGAAAAAATCAAAAATCATGTCGAGATTTGATATTTCTTAAAAGATGGTACATCATCAAACGATTTCAATCGCTTCTTGCGTGCAGTTTATGGGGACCCTCCTTCGTCGTATACCATAGTCAAACATTAAGAATAACCTCTGCAGTTGTACAGAGATTATTGAAAGGTGACTCTCACACTTTTGCTTCAATAGTGAGAACAATTCTAAATCTGATAGCCCCAAATCGAAGCGTCGTTCATGAAATATTCCAAATGCCCAAGTGCACGTTAGCTGCGACCCTCAGCATCACAGCAGACAGTGTCTTTAATATACCACATGATAAATGTTGCTTGGAGAAAGTTTGTTCGCGAACATTCGAAAAGTCTTTGAATTCTTTTTTGACAGATGAACACTTTTCTCTTTGTGATGGATTTCTCATGCTTCTGGAATGTGGTGAATAAATCAATTGTAGTTGGCAATGAAGTCTGGTTCCAGTGCTACAAATCAAAGATCAGAACGAAGAGAACGCAGTGGAATACAGTGGTGGCAAGGCATCAGTAGAAAGTCGCCTATTAACAGGTGCTTTGCAACATATGGCTTCCGTTTCTAGGATACAGATGGTATATTGATGGTTGGCTTGTCACCAAAATAAACTATGGTCTTGAGCCTGTACCACGCTCAAGAGATGTATAGATTGCGTTATGTAGTAGAAATAAAATAACGCTTTCTTCTGGACAACATTTTGTCTTCACATAGCAGCAGACGAATGAATGTTTGGGCAATGCACCTTTCTCAACTGAAAGTGCATCCAACTCTACCATCTATTGTATTTATTGGGGCCGGCCCCTAGCTAGTATTTCCAGTATTCAAACAGAAAAAAGTGTCGCATGGGAAAGCAATATGAGCCCGAAGTGAAGAAAATGAACGATATTTTCAACCTATGGGAGGACTAAGATACCGAGTAGTTTTCAGCAGCACTGAAAGCATTGGGGTATCGAAATGAATGTGTCATTCGTGTTCAAGAGGACCATATTAAATAATAAATATAGTCGTTCAAAAATACAATGTGTGTTTCTATGTTAGGCCCGAAAATTTTTGACACACCTGTAAATGTTGGAAAATATTTGATGGTATAAATATTAAAGAATGAATTCAAAACCAGCCAACGAAAAACCGCATAATCGTACATGCATAATAACTCCAAAAATGAATGCTAATTTGCAAACAGCACGAAACAAGATTTTTTCTTCATAAAGACATGGTGTACTCTGTCATATTTTTTTTTGCTTCGGGAAGTGTGAATATCAATTTACACAAAATTGTTTGAATTTTAAATAACTTTTTTTACTTCACTTTTACATTGTCTTTAAAGTACATGATGTAACTTCTAGTTTTCGAATCAAAATTTATTCGCTTGAAAAAAAAAAACAAAAGCCAACAAGCCAAAAATCGCAATAAGTGGTTTTGGTTCTTTTATGTTTTTGTTTTCTTGAAACTGAAACAAGTGTTAGGTAACGTTAAAGTTCATTTTTGAACAAGGGCATTAAAAAGGCAGAAATGAAAATTGACTAGACTTTCGTCTGTTTAAATAATCTGAATGGATTTGATGGGAACAGAAAAAAAAAATTGGATAGCCTATATGGTAGGTGTTTCATTAGAAAATTGTCATAGAAATTCGTTTACTTTCAAACGTACCTTTAACTTTCAAACGTACCGAAAAGCTTTAAATTTGTTCATGTGAGTGTGTGTTATTGTATTATGATTTGTTTGATTAAACTTTTGATATGTTTACGCTGTAATACATTTTTAACTCTTATTTATGTATGAAATCAAATCAATGTGAATACAGAATAGGGATTTTGCATTTTTTGAATATTCTTTTTCTAAATTTCTGTTGTTTCCCATAATTTAACTTGAAGTGAAACAAAATCGATTATATACGTTATCTATCGGTAGCATTCGTTTGATTTGTTCGATATGACATCTATTTGTATCTGGTTTCATTTTTATTTTAAGTAATTATAATTTTTGTTTATCCGTTTGTGGAAGCATCAATAACTTTCACTATGTTGTTCGTTCATTCATTAGGTTTTTCTTATGCCATTGTTGTCTAGCGAACTGGTGTCTAAATTATATAAAACAAATGGATTACAATCTAATATGTCTATGGGGATGTTTTGTTCGACGTTGAAATAAGCAAAAGAACGTTTAAGTTTTAAGGTTAATTTCATGTTTTGCTTTTGTAGTTGCTCGGTTTTTCGGTCTTGTTATTTTAAGTAAATTTTAATCTAACTTTTTTTTCTAAGCTATACCATTGAAATTTAATTTAAAATTTATTCCTAAGTATTTTTATTTTGTTCTTTTTTTTTCATCGTTTTATGACTAAATTGTTCATTTCATTCATTTTGTTCTTTTAAATTTTATGTTTACAATAAATCAACTTAAATTGCATAAGTCAGAAGAAATTTTTCCATCAAGTTTGTTCGTTTGTTTTTAATTCGGTTGCCGTAAAAAAATTAACATCATTTTTAATTTTAAATATATTTACAAAAATGTACATAAGACAACAAAATCAAGTACATCTATAATAATAATAATAATGATAATAAAAATAATAGAGATCGGCTTTCTTCAGTAAGAATGAAGGAAACAAAGAAAATAAATTGAACAAAAGAAAAATGAATTATTACAATTAATCTAAATAATACAAATATTCAATTAAATTTACTATTTACTGTTTTAGTGTTTACTTTAGCGTTTGTTCTTTTATTTCATTAAATATTTGTTGTTGTTAATTTTTTTGGTTCATGAATGTGCTATCCTTGGCCATTCGAATGTTAGTGTATGAGTGCGATTTGATTCAATTGTATTTTATTTGTGTGAGTGTTATCGCAGAGAGTTCAATTTGCCAGAATTCGGTTTCTGTGTTTGTTTGTATTTTGCAATTGTGGTACATTTCTATCGTGCAAACGCATCGAACTATTGTCAAGCATTTCGCTCTATAAGACTTTAAATCATTATTTATTGATTTGATTTTAAACTATTTAATTTGTTTCATTCTGGTATTGTATTGTGTGTTAAAGCTTATTTAATATATTGTCGATGGCGCACTTTTGATCACTCAAATTTTGGTTTCTTTCTTACCAACCACACACGTTTGTATCTTCTTTTTCATTTTTCTTTTATAACCCATTCAAAATATTAGTGTCGCATATTTCATTTTATTTTCACATGGCTGTATTTGCATTTTCATGCACATATTTTTTGTGATTTGGTCACCGTGCGGCAAATCCAATATTTAATCGTCATTTGTAAATAGATGTTCGGAAGTATCGCTGATGTTCTTCCGTTTGTTTTCTAGAATTTTAGTTGCTTGTTCGAGCGTTTCTAAGTAATAAAGTTTGGGTTCGCCACGTTTAGAGTATTTTGTTTCATCGAAATTCCACGTAAGGCCGAGGACTATATTGAAGGCAGATACATCGTATGCATGACATCCAGAGTATCTATATAATGGTTTTTTATTGAAACGACAACCACCGGATTGTGCACCTATATATATGCAAGAGAAAAATTAAAAAGAAATTAATTTGATTAGATCAATAATTTACAAAAAAATAATGCGGGAAAAGATTTTTTACAGAAAAATCGGTTTGTTTATGTTTGGCTGCTTCATTTTTTCACACCTTTTAATTTTTGTAAAATTTTGAAATTACCCTCCTTGGATCGTTACCGTCAGAAGCAATAACTATTTGTATATAAAAAAAAACCGAATAGACAGTGTTGAAGCTTACCTATCGGATGAATGCATTCTAATGTTAGTGTACATTTAATCCATGGTAATAGAATTTTCTCATTGACCAAATCAGAGTCAACAAAAAGTACGGCATCCATTGAAACCATGGGCAAAAAATTAAAATCTTCGGCTTCGGTTTGAAAATAGTCAAACATTTTTGGATGTGTTCGTGATGACACAGCCAATCTCGTTGTCCAACCCAGGACACCGTTACTGTTAACATGATGGAAGAGTTCGGCACGATATTCATTCGTTAAACTACGTATTCGTACATTATTTTCAATGAACAATATGGTTTTTGAATGATTTAGCGCATCTTTGATGAGAAGTGGCCGAAATGCTCGCATTCGTTCATCGCTCACATATGTCGGAAATTGTGATAAATCGTATGTAATCACAGTGCATTTTGTATTATTACAATATGTACTTAATGCACGTGAATCATCCTCGGATAATCCAATATCGTACAATATTAATGTTTCATTTGGAAGTTTACTGCCGATATTTTGTATGAGCGATATAGCCGATGCTGCTTGACCGCTAAGTACATAACTGACAACAGTGAAATTGGATTTATTGTGATTTATTTGGTGTTGTGATGATGCTTGTTTCGGCAACAATGATGACGATAGCGTTGTCGATGATGACGATGATGACGCCGACGGCGTTGCAAATCCCAATAAGCTTAAATATTTGGAATCGATTTCCAATATTTTGTTATTTGATACTAAATTCTCCTGTGAAGAATAAAGAATGAAAAAACACAAAGCAATATTCAGTAATTTCGCATAATGATTTTTCGCAAATATGAATGTTGTTCACTTACCTGTATTTCTTTGATGTGTCGATGAGTTTGTGTTACAATCGTTTTAATTGAATCATTTTGCTCTCGCGTTGAACCGATCATAACAAATACATAACTGGTGATCACAACACAGCCGAATACTATTAAGAAGCTTTTCATGCGCATTTCTTCAACTTTTCACATTTACGCTCTCCACTTTTATGCTTGGCTGTTGAGTGAAAGGCAGACCAACAGAGAGCAAATTGTATGAACAATGAAACTTAAGCTTGAGCCCTTTTGTGTTCAATAACAGCAAACGATGACGATAACGGCAAATCTAACTAACTCTCTTGCCTTGTGTTTAGCGCGATATCGAAGATTACGTTATCAAAACAACGCACGAACAGAAAAAAATGTACGTCTAACACCGTATTCAATAGAAATGTAAAAAATTTGCGATTTCAATGATTCAAATTGTCGCCCGTACAACTCATAGTTTTTTAATTGACGTTGACGCTCGAATAACTTCATATGAACACTGCAGAAAAAGACAGACCGAGAAAGAGAAAAGAAAAATTACATATTATTAGTTAGTGATGTGCATAAGTACTTTTTGTCAATTCTTGCTGTTCGCTGATGTGTGTGTGTGTTCGGTTTCGCTTGTTTAATTTTCTTTACTTTCCGTACAATAACCGCAAACATTGAAATACAATAAAATTCAATAAATAATATAATCATAACTGGTAATAGTATAGTCTCTTTGTTTTTGTTTTTTTTTCGCAGTGAAAATATTTGCATACTGTTCGTTGTTGGTTGCCAAAGTGCACGGGGTGTTCAATTGTTGAATTTATAATAAAATATTTCATACAATCTATGCCAAATGTGTTCATTTAGACAGATAATTAAATTTCATTTTAAATTTTGTGTACAAAGTCCATATATAGAACGTAATGCCACTGAATTCTGCACCCGAACCATGAATCACACAATAACGTTAAAAAAAACAACATAAACAACTAACCGACCAACCACAAAAAATCACACACTCAAAACCGACATTCAAAACGTTCAAATGACAAATATCTTAACTCAGAAATCAATTAACAAATGATGCGGCGGAATTTCAGTAGCCGTTTTTTTTCTCTCTGTTTGATGCCAAAAAAAACACAAGTACTTAAGCATGAAATTTACCCATCTTATCATATCTTATCTATAGTTGCATTCGATTGAATCTGATAAAGGCTACATATTTGTGTTAAAAACGAATATCTATCTATGCTAGCGACACATTCAGTCATTTGTAGTTTATCCATCGCACGCGCGGCAAATGAATGATTGAATGCGTACTGCGACAAAAATTCATTGCTCACTCCACACACATTCTCTGCACATATAAAAAAATTGTGATTCATATTTTGTGAATGAATGACAATTCGGAAACTGCGCTTTACAACAGCCGAACACACAAATTCCGGGAATGGAGGGTGAGAAAAATATCAACAATTCATTTATCCAATCAATAATATACGATAGAAATCTTCTAATTTGCTGGATATTTAACACATCATTTCCCTTCTTTTTTGTTCGGAATGTTGACCCATTCAATTAGTTTATCCCACTGAACATAAAATATGCTGGGATGAAATGTGATAATATAAACAATTAATTTGATTTGTCGATACTTATCAATGTGTGAGAATGAAACAAAGCTCAGTCGAAACAACAACCTATTTTTGAATTTATCTACTCAATGCCAAATTATGAAATTATGAAATGCACGACTATTAAAATATTTGCAATCACAATGGTATTGTTTGTTTTTTCTTTTCTACTTGTACGAGAAAGTGGCAAGCTCAAAAAAACATCTTTTAGCTCTTTTTCCCTTCGGTGTATTCTAGGTATTTGTTTCGCATTGATTACCATGTTTACAGTAGGTTGATATCGGCATATATCCCATTCAGAATATATTTGTGGACGCTCTTTTACACCACAACTACATGATTGGTTTTCGCAAACATGATTCGTTTTTTATTGTAATCGCTTGTTTGTTATTTATTTTCACACTTTATACACTTTTACGTTATTTACACACGGTTTTTTTTTATTCTCGTTCGTTTCGCTTTTGTTTTCTATTGTTGCGCTTTATATTTTTCAATACGACAAAAATCAACTTTTTTCAATCGAAAAATGAAAAAAGTTTTGCATTTTAGAGTACAGATATTATGCGGCCAATTGTGTCAATTTAGTTCGGAATATTTCCGATTGGGCGGAATACCATTTAATTGCATACTATATTTTAGTTTTATAAAGGAAAAAAAAATATGATTTGAATCTACTTTTGATAGTAAGAATGCGATGCAATATAATTTTTTTTTGCATTAATTTAATGCGAAGGGATTAATAAATGAATCAAAAATTCAATAAAAGTTTAGTATGCAGCGCCAACCATTGTAAAATAATACAACACAAATGACTTCTGACATTGACGTTTATTTGTCAAATGTTTCATCACGTAAATACACATAGATAATTATTTTTTTTTGTTGGTTATATTTTCTTATATTCATTTATTCTTTGAAAACAAATACAAAAATTCCATTATTAGTTTTTTTTTCGCTTATATTTTTTTTATTATAATTTTAGTTTTCAAATGCAATATAAATTTTGTTAAATAGTCGATAGCATAGAAAAGTGTAGTGTAAGCAAAATTTAGAAACTAAATACCACAACCAAATGTGCATTTCATAGTAGAAAAAAAAACAAGAAGAATCAGCTATCGAAACAAAATAAAGGCGAAAAGAGAAAGAGAATAAGAAGAGAACGAAATAACAACAACAACAACAACAACAAAATTAAGTGATTTAGTTCATAATTGTATATTAATGATCAATTTAAATTGAAGATGCCGTGTTGGTACTATGACAAAAAAGAACTACGTAACACACCATCAATTCGAGATGGTTTGGAATTTGAAACGGAACGACGGTATCGCAAAGAAGGTACACGATTTATTATGGAATGTGGCACCCAAATGATATTGGGTCATCATACAATTGCAACGGGTGCGATTTATTTTCATCGCTTCTATATGTTTCACACATTTCAAGAGTTTCCACGTTATGTGACGGCCTGTTGTTGTTTATTTTTGGCCGGCAAAGTGGAAGAAACGCCGAAAAAATGCCGTGACATTATTGCAACTGCCCGTTCAATATTACCGAATCAAAGTTTTCAGGCATTTAGTGAAGATTTACGAAAAGCCAAAGAAGAGGTCATGACACTCGAAAGCATCCTATTACAAACCATTAAATTTGATTTAGAAGTTGAACATCCATACAATTTTCTTGTATCGTATGCAAAATGTTTAAAAGGTGACAAAGCAAAATTACAAAAAATGGTTCAAATGGCATGGAATTTTGTGAATGATTCGCTAAGTACAACGGTATGTTTACAATGGGAACCGGAAATAATCGCAGTGGCCATGATTCATTTGGCGAGTAAATTGAGTAAATTTACGGTTGACGATTGGGTCGGCAAGCGTCCCACACATTTACGATGGTGGGATATGTTTATATCCGATGATGTAACAATGGAAATTCTTGAGGATATTTGCCATCAAGTGCTTGATTTGTATCAACAACCAAATCAACAGGCGGCACCATCGACCGATGCCAATTCGTTGGCAATCAGTAAATCGAAAGCAACGACAATAACTACAAATGCAAATATGCCTACATCAGGGGCACAACGACTGAAACCAAAAGATCTTCCACATTTTACAAAAGACATGAACACTGAAAATGGTATACACAATTTATCAGCGTCTGATTTTGCAAAAGCAAATCGATCGAGCTTTGCAACAACATGCTCAGTACCGCCACCACCTCCGCCACCAATGAATGGAACACAACCATACACAGGTAAATTGACACATGAGATGGAACAAACACGTTGTCACATTTTATTGAATGTTTTGATTTTCTTTGAAATTTGACTAGGTAATCAACCGCCATCGATATATCCAATGAATGTATATCCACAGTCAACGATGCCAACAAATGTACCATACAATATGCCACAATGTGCTCAACAACCACCTAATAATATTTATTACAATCAATCAATGAGTAGAATAACTGGTGCATACTATCCGGGGCCTTAAGACAAAATAAAAGAAAGGAAATCAAATCAAAAATCACCTGCATGAGCTTCTCATCATGAACGAATCAAACAACCAATTCAAAACAATGATTCTCACCATTTATTCGTTCAATTTTATTCGATTGTTTTATTTTTATTATAAAATATTGTGCATATTACTGCAATGATCAACTACCATGATTATAAGTCGCGTAGCTAATTAAAAAAAAAAAAGATTTTATTTGAATTTATTGAAAGAAACCATGGTGTTTTAGATATACCGAAAGAAAATGTTCTAAATTTAGTAAAAGAAATTGTTAATTACCAAGGGATTTAGCATTACAAATAAATGTTATCTCATAACCAATACCATATTTTTTTAAAAATAAAATTGCAATATTGCTTCTATGCAGGTGGCTCTCATACGGAATCTTTACCTAAGTGTGTAACAACACTTACCGACGGCTAATTAGCGCTGGATAAATTCATTGAGTGATTTAGCCATTTTAGTATTTTAGAAGTCAAAACGCACCGCCACAGCCGCTTACAAAAATTTACTTTTGAACGCAGACAAAATTATCTATATTTTATTTTCTACTTCTCTTGTTGTAAAAATTGGCTTTTTTATTATAAAGAGATATATTTATAATTTGTACCTATTCGCCTTTTCTCTCAATATTTTCGAGTATGTTGAATTAATACATGCTTATTGATTATATCGAACAATTGCAATATGAACCAAATAAAAATGTACGTTTTTTCTATTTTTGTCCTCTTCGGACGTCATTTGTCTTAATTAGTCAGTTTATTTCAAACCACGCCCAACAAGAATTTTTTCTTCTGTATGCTGCACATAGGGGAAATTTTAAGAAATGTCTTCTTTATTTTGGCATACAGTTTTCAAAAGGGAAGGATTGCAATTAAATCATTAGTCCCTAAGAAGAGAGCGAATAGGACTCGAAGAATTTCACCCTAAGTGCAGGTAGAAATCACTTGACAAAATGTTCTTGAAGTAAAATTGTACATTGCTTTTCATTCTTAGAAGTTCTAAATTAGAACGCTAATGATATTTTATTGTCCTCATTTGGTTATTCACTTAATTACAATTAGCCGGTATAAAAACTGTAACTTCTCGTAAATTTCAACAGTTTTATACTTGCAGTGATCTAAACTTGAGGCGAGCTCAAATAAGCTTATCACTAGTGATTTAAAGAAAGTGATTTTTAAAAAGAATATTTCAGATTTCGAGTCGCACATATTTTCAAAAAGGTGTAAGTATATTTTTTTTATTTTCATATATTCTCTAAAGAAAGTTTCTCTCATAATTTCTGTGCTTTTTTGTCATTTCATCAGTGAGAACGACGTACCATCGAAACAAAATAAAGAAGAAAATAGAAAGAGTGAAAAAATAATAATAAGTTGAAGATGTTGTACTATGACAGAAAAGATCTACGTAACACACCATCAATTCGTGATGGTTTGGAAATTGAAACAGAACGACGATATCGCAAAGAAGGCGCTCGATTTATTATGGAATGTGGTACCCGAATGGCATTGGGTCATCAAACAATTGCAACGAGTGCGATTTACTTTCATCGCTTCTATATGTTCCAAACGTTTCAAGAGTTTCCACGTTATGTGACGGCCAGTTGCTGTTTATTTTTGGCCGGTAAAGTGGAAGAAACGCCGAAAAAATGCCGTGACATCATTGCAACTGCTCGTTCAATATTAACCGATCCACGTTTTCAGGCGTTCAGTGAAGATCTACGAAAAGCAAAAGATGAGATCATGACACTCGAAAAAATCCTATTGAAAATAATTAAATTTGATTTAGAAATTGAACATCCATACAATTTTCTTTTATCGTATGCAAAATGCTTAAAAGGTGACAAAGAAAAATTACAACAAATTGTCCAAATGGCATGGAATTTTATGAATGATTCGCTAAGTACAACGGTATGTTTACAATGGGAACCGGAAATAATCGCAGTGGCCATGATTCATTTGGCGTGTAAATTGAGTAAATTTACGGTTGACGATTGGGTCGGCAAGCGTTCCAAACATTTGCAATGGTGGGATATGTACATCGGATCCGATAGAACAATGGAAATTCTTGACGACATTTGCCATCAAGTGCTTGATTTGTATCAACAACCAAATCAACAAGTGACACAATCAACGCATACAAATTCGGTGGCAATCAATAAATCGAATGCGACAACAGTGACTGGAAATGCAAATATGCCTGCATCAGAGGCACAAGGAATGAAACCAAGGGATCGTCCACAATTTACAAAACATATCGATCGATCTATGCAACAACATAGTCATTATCGTCGCCACATCCGCCACCATTGATACACAGGCGAACGACACTTGAATCGCAATGACCAAAAATCGAATGAAAATCAACATGATAAAAATATCATCAAAAAATTAGCATCAATCTAAATAGAGAATCTTGCCATTCATTCGTTCAATTTTATTCTTTTTTAATTATCAAATATTTTCCGAGAATGAGATTTCTCACGAGATTTCATTAAAATGCAACAGAAAATCTCAGTTTTTATACGGTGATGTTACATTTCAGTAAAATTTCAAGAGAAGTCCCACATTCATTCTCCGGCACTTGTTAAATTTTGCCACCTAAGCCATAAATAAATAAATCATCTTGAATTTTCTTTGAATGTTTTGTTTTTTTTTTAATGAAGTTTCTCGGTGTTCTACATATAATACGACCGGTTTATTTTTATTTTAGTTTCCTGTTTTTATGGAGCAAATGCACTGATATTACACTCAGAGTACAGAGTGATTAACTATTTATTCAAAATAATAACAATATGCATGATCACATCTTTCAAGCTGCAGAAGTAAATTGATCGTCACCTTTTGATTGACGCATTTTCTCGTATATGTGATATTGCACCACTTGTTGCTAACAGATTCTCTCTAAATATTTGCAAGAATATTCAAAATTCACACGAATCGTTCCACTTCAGAAAGACGAATGGACAGAATAGTGAGAAAAGGCCATTCAGAATTCATTTTGTTGAACCTGGAGGAGGGTGAATGCCAAACTACATTTCTGCACGTGTAACAATAATTTCCTTTAAGACATAGTTGACGTCAATCAATGCATATTCGATACCGCCAACGACTTTTTTTTCCTCATCAAACTATGATCTCACTTTGGCTGAAATTTCTATGAAAAAAAAGAGCCAAATCAAGATCGGCTTTCACTGATCAATGGAACTTAATATGGTTTGTATAATTTTGCATCAGAAATTCAAATCTATGCACCATCTTTATAAACATAAGCGCTTGAACTTTTCGGTGAACCCAACGAATTTCCATCGATTGACCTTACTTGTTAAAATATAAAAAACACATTTCCATTCCATGATATATAGTTTAATTCGATTTAGAATTTGATTTGATGGATTTAGTTCAACATTATTCATCTAACCACATTTTTTTTGATATTTTAAAAAATAAAGTCTAAATATTCGAGGAACATTTAAAAATGAAAGTATTTGCTTATCACAGCGGTCGGCAGTTCGCACGAGTGACGAAATTGTTTTATTCGCACAAAATCTTGAGGCTTATTCCCAGAAGTCATATGACCATTAAATATTTCTGTTTTAAATAATTTATGTCACCTTGCGATAATTCTTATCAATTTAATTGATAAATTGCTGATGAATACAAATCAAATTTTAACACATCAAATTGTTCATAATATTCGCACGTTAAAATCTCAACGATTTATAAAAATAAAATCTAAAGTTCAAGATAGTCATTTAATACAATACAAATTAGGCATAACAGATTTTATATATTCATCATTCTTATGCTTTATTTGATGAATATACTGTCCTTTAAGTTTGAAAACAATTTACAAACATTTATTCATGGATTTATTAGTTTTCGATTTCCCCCTGTAGATTGATCTGAATATATGCATAAGCAAAAAAAAAAAATAAGAAGAAAAAGAGACGAAACATATTCAGAAATGTGAGATTTTGATACATACAAACGAGAATAGACAAGAAATAAAGAAAAAAAAAACAAATATGAAAATACCGAGACACATTATGGTACACATTTCCAATGTAAACTAGATTTATTAAAATATGTATTTATTTTGACCGTCCCATCGCCTCTATGCATAGATTCATTCTCTTTTTTATTTGGTTTTTATTTCTCTCTTCATTCTACTCAAACAATAAAGAAGTAGCAATGTCTGTTCATCATAAATTAAAAAGATTAGATATGACAACGAAAAAAAAAAACAACAACAAACACAACCAGAATAATAAACAAAATATATGGAAAACAAAGACACGCGCACACATACAAGCATCGACATCATTATGCTTGAAAATTATAAGGAAATGAAGGAGTTGTGTCCAGTTGCGAGTCGCTCCATATTCCCAATATTCTGTATCAAGGTAAACAATATAGGTGTATGTTTTTGGTCATTTTTTATTGGGCAAAATTTTTTATCGTCTATCACATTTTTAAATCGTGTTTTTGAAATATAAGATATAAATTATTCGATTCATAGTCGTTGCTATGAAGATTCATGAATGAAATGAAATGAATATTCCATTTGCAAATCGTTTGTATTTCGAGAATTTAACGTGTGATTTGAAAAGGCGCAATAAAAACTCACATTCTAGTCGAAAAGACGACAAATTAATGGCGTTAAGCTGAATAAAAAAAAACAAAACTAACGAAGCGTTGAATATGTATCTCTTTTTTTCATTAATTTTTACCGAAAAAACGGCAAATGATTTGACTAAATTCACCCCTTATCGATTTCTAAAAATGTGCATATGCAATTTCATCTGAAATGAAAGTGAGAGTCTGGAGAAAAGAAACCACTTGTGTGTGTGTGTGAGAGAGAGAGAGATATAGAGAGACCAAGAGACAGAGAAAGAGAAAAAAACTCATGCAAAAAAATTATGCCGACAAACATACGATGGTATGCATAAATGCAAAAGATAATTCCAAGTGATTATGAAAATATCAATGTTACCAAAAATATCGATAAAATCCTCCGAAGTAAAAACTAGAATGATGTAACTTTAGTTTTTTTTAAAAAAAGCCGTGGTTAAGCTAACGAGACAGCGTGTTGGAATTTCACTGATTCCACAATTTTTGCTTTTAAAAAAATGGTATCTCCCTAAGACCAAAAGTGAATGAGAGAAAGAAAAAAAGAGAGAAACAGTTTATGTGCATATTGATATTGATTTAGCGATGAATTTTTTCCTCATGCTATTTGGCAACGCAATGTCACAAAATAATCATATCGACTGCAGAATCCATAAATAAATTTCGTAAAACATCATCACCGTCATTGGCGATATTCGGCTCAAAAAGTCTTTAATACGAAATCGAAGAAGAAGACAAAAAAATATGTGAGTTTCGCCCGTTCAGAATATGTATTGTGTATGGGACGAAGCGAAAAATGAGTTGATGTCAAAATCATAGCCATGCAATGATGATCCACATAGCGCAACTGTAATAATAATCTATTGGCCGACTGTACAAAATTTCATTGCTTGCCGTCTTTTAATCTTTGGTGTAAAATTGCAGAGATGATTCAACGACCGATTATCAAACTGTTTTGAAATTAATTGGCATGTTGATGTTTTCTGCATGAAATTAAATTATGGAACGAACCAAAATGAATAGAAAAAAATACGACTGAATTGCGAACAATGAAGTCGGAATTCACAAACTGTACACACACGCGATTGTTTTGAAGTTCAAGCGTGCGATCAAGAACGTGACGTCGTTCCAATGTGATGTGAACGATGGATTTCATCTGATAATAAACAAATGAAGATAATAAAAGTTGAGAAGTTGTCAGTGTGTCGCCAAATATCAATACCATGAATACCATGAATGAGACATATATATGAAATAGCTAAAATCAAGCATAGATATCACGCCATTTAAATATATTGATGAAATGTGATGTTGAGTCGACGCACGGCAATCGACGATTAACGATTCTTGTTTGGTAAATCAGCTGGAAAGCGTCAGAATGTGACGACAAATATGGAACAAAATATTCAATCTAGTAAGGTTGACATTTACGTTGAATTATATAAATCTTTCTAATTTATATGATAAAAATCAAATAAAAAGTGAAATATCGATCACACAGAGAAAAGATCGTACACAATCGAATGGGAACCAAATACGAGGTAAGAAGGTGAAAAGAAAAACAAATGATCGACGAGAAGACACTCAATACATGATTGTCTAATGAATGAGCAAAACATATTTATAAACGGAAAAAAAATTGGAACTACTTATAGTTCGATTATGTAAGAAATTTTGTATTGCAATTAGCGCCGCATATAAATGTGATCAGTATGATTTTTACGATTTGAATGTTATAAATTAGATATGAATGCTTTTTAAACGGGCAAATTAAGAGCTGCTGTAATTTTCTCTCCTTTTTTCGTTTTCAAAACAATGGCATCGATTTGATTTATTGTTTGTCAAACGGTTGGTAGATGGTTCGCATGTTATGCACTTCGAAATGCCAAAACAAATTCAAACATACACTGTACAAAAAAGCTAAATGATGAAGTTGAGATAAAAAAATACACAACATACAAGACACAATAGGGAAGTGAATGAAGTAAACTGTCAAAACATACCGCAAAAGACTGAAGCGCAAAAAAAAACGAGCACGATGAAGAATGCGCTAACGATTTGAGTTGTAATGAATTTCTTTTCAAATGATGGCACCGTGCACGCGATTGTTTCTTTACAACGTTTCGCATTTAATTACCTATTTCATGGTGTCGAATCGAAGTCAGTCGCGTTAATATTAATTGAGGAAGTTTTTTTTGGGGCCACACGACAACGATTCCCATTGCGTGTTGAATTTTTGATGAAAACTTTGCCATCGATAATAATCTTGATTAGTAATGTGATGCGGCGCATTCGCATTGAATTTGAAACGAACTCAAAAATGACACTAAACGGTCAATCCAAATAGTGCTCGTCGTAAATTAAAAAAAAAATTCAACGGAATTTGGTTTCGTTTTCATCTCAGCTTACAAGATTGACATCTTTCAATGCGATTCTGTTTCCCGTTGCTGCACGCACATATATGCCGAAAATAAACATTTTTGATTTGATTTGAAAACACCATCGAATTGCCACATAAAGATATTTATATGCGTTGAAGAAAGAAACCTGAAGAATTTTGTGGTGCAACCGATATTCAAAAACCACTTTGTATAAGCTGAGTTGTGTACAATTGTGTATATGACGAAAGGCGAGTCTATCTTAAATTGACGATTCGATCGGTCGTTGGTTAATTGATAATT